TTACTGTTGTCTTCTATGCTTCAGATTGTAGTTAAAAGATGAATACACTTTTAAGACACACAGGAGGGTTTTAAGTGTGAAGGAGTTGGGATTTTCAATCACTTTCGTCACAAAAGCCTCCATTAAGGCATCAGGACAAAAGTTGACCTGCTCAAACGCAGCCAGGAAAAGGATCAACTAAAAACAAACAGGAACAAAGTTAAAGTTAGTTCATAAAAAATGTTAATTGTAGTAAAGCTTTATATTTAAAAACAAAGCAGTGTCACTGCACCTGTTTATTGGTCCACATGTCAATGGTGGAAGCAACATAGTCTGAAATACCAGTGAACAGATCTAAATCTCTGTAGTGAAGGGGCAAACAGGATTGTAGCACCAAGTACAGCTGGCTAAAAGTGATGGTATGAAGGTTTTCTACAGAAGACAAGCGTGAAAAGAACAATCTGAATGCTGAGGCATTTCTGCTCTGTTGCTGGTGAATTTCTGACAAGCTAGTTGAGTTTACCTGTGATTTTTTGACTGCAAACATGCAACAGTGGTTTGGAGTGGAAGTCCATTTCCGCCAAAACGGAGATCATGTGGACGGCATTAGGGACACTGAACTGGTCCGACATGGATAGGGCCTTTTTCTGAAACACATAAGTTACAAATCAGACAATGTGGAACAGGATCAAAACAGATCCTCTGGGAACAATAACAGAAACATGAAAACCAAACTGACCTCGAATTTCTGTTTAAGAGTTTTTGGGGCATCTTTTCCCAAAAGGCGCATTATAATCTGAATAGACATTATATTCTTCATACTAGGAAGGTGTTCCTCAACTATCAACCTAAAACACAACATTTACCATAACAAGAAGTTAGAAAGTTTCTGAATCAACTATTTCCATCTGATTGACACATTTCTGGTTCACTGATTTCATACTTCATCCCCTCCTTTAGTGCGTTCACATTTGGACTGTCCTCCATTTGAATCAGACTAGAAGCCAAGACAGACAGACTCTTTTCATCAAAGTCATTCAGGTTTTCCTGTTGGAAGACAAAATAATCAATTAGTCTAAATAAAGAATGTCTTTGTGTGTTTGTAGATGAACCTGAGCTGCCAACCTGACAAGTTCGAAGAAAAGTCTGGACAACGCGGCTACGATGAGGCACGCCCATATTGATCATACTCAAGAGGGAGTAAACAATGTCCTTGTTATACATGTATTGGACAGAGCTCATGGCTTTTTGCAGTAACTTCTCAAATTCTGGATGCTCAAACATCAGCTGCGACTCGTAGTGCAGCTGCTCGTGTGACATCATCTTCAAGGAGGACCACATGTAGGTCAGGCAGGCACTGATCTGCCACAATTGGAGCGTGTGCTTACAGGTGAGGTCCAGGACGTCTGATGGAGAGCGGCACTGCTGCAGGTGGCTCATGAAAGGGAAGCTTTTGTCTGAGGCCGTCCCATCAAGATGAACTTCAGCTGGAGATGATAGCTCCGCTGGTTGTGAAGAGAGGTGGCTGTTCTCTTCAGTTTCCTCATGATGATTCCCTCCCTGCGAGTGGAATCTTTCTGCACTGACAAGACTCCTGGAAAGACATTTCTGGTACTGCTTCGAGCCATAAAAGCACACAGGTCGATGAGTAGGAAAGTATGAGTC